AAAAAAATAAAAACGTAGCACCATGCGTATATATCAGTGCCAGTTTTACAGACATTTCTATACTCGGAGTCTATTTGGTTGTGAAAACCTGCCCCGAATGCACAAATATGTACTCACAACGGTTGAATTCTCCGCATTCCTTCAAATCCAATAGGGTTATTTTTCCCAAGGTTTAAGCGAAAACGACCCATAATTCGTTCATATTATGCCGAGAGACAAGACAGACGGCTGACTCAAACAACTATCAAAGAATATACAGAGGTGGCGCACAACCCTTGACCTATTCTGAAAGAGCCAAAAATTTTGTATCGAACGGTTCATAACATTTGTGGTCGTCAAAATGACCGTAGTTTGGTCAACCGAAACAAGGCAAACATTGCTGTTGTTCTAGTGTCAACCGTACAGTGACTACCATGTACACATAGGTTTTTCTGCATCTTTTACGATGTTTTTAGTCCACACATTCCAGGAGAAGAGTCAGCACAAATGAAACTCACTGACATATCAGGTAAACGTTGCCACTTCAATAACTAAGGTGGACGCTGAAATAGGAGGCAGCCTTAGTATAGAGCTAGTTCACATTCCTCTAAATCAAATAGGATATGGCGAAATCCAAGATGTTGAAAATGAAAATACCTGGTGAAAAGTCTGATTTCGGCAAACGATGTTTTGACACGACTTCGTCAAGCACCTCCTTCATCACTGCACCGTTCATGAATTTCCAGTACTCCACAAGTGCGGTCCTATTCTTCCGAACTTCTTTTTGGTACTGTTTGCAATAATCAAAGAACCGCAAAAGGTTATCCACAGTTTGAATGCCTTCGGGCATTGAATCCAAGTGACTTTCAATTCCTTGTGCATCCACTGCAGTGATTGGCGTGAGGTTGAAAAGCTAAAGTACGGAGCACAGTCAAGTCACCATAGCAGGAATACTGCTGAGAAATTGTGAAGCAAGATCTAAGGAAACAGATTAGCGTACCTTAAAAATAGGGTGCACCAAGTCAGTGTGCAAACTAGGGCGATCGCCCACACTCGAAAAGCATTCAGCATGCAAGTACATGACGGCATGGTAGGCCAACCACTGCGGTAAATTTGTGGATCAGTAAACCAACTATTCAACAAAAGTGACACTGAGAGATGGTTAGTTTGATAGTCCTCCAAGCAAAAAAACCCACTCATGAGCACTATTCCTATAAGAAAAGCCAGTATAGTGTATAGCCAGTACAGAGCGCAGAGGCAGGAACAGAATGGATGCAGCTCACAAGCGAGACATGGTCACATTTAATGGAACAGGCTAGTTCAGAATATCTGAATACGGAAATTTGCCGGTTTCCGATTACTTCAACAGTGGTACTACCTGTAATGTATGCATAATTCTGATTTTAGTCCATAGGGTTATTGTGGATCAATGTTCGGGGGTCGTGTGTTATAACCTCATCGGACAACTGTCGGAATTCGAGAGAGATCAGTCGAAGCAACGTAACACAGCGTTTGAGCTTCTGGTTTTATTGATCACTTCGACGGGGTTAAAACAAGAAGAGTCCAAACGATCAATTACGTAGTAAGTATTCTGGCAAATGTTAAATCACAATGGTAAATGGTAAATCCCAATTTTCCGGTGAATAAACCAAACTAATGGAAAGCGTTAACCGGAGAATTAAGGCTAGTTAAAGTAGCAACTATGGGCCTGTAGAGGTATCTCATCAGATCACACGTCACAAACACTCA